CACGACTGAACCCAACTCTACAACCGCCAATTAAAAAAAAATCCTCAGATGGACTGAATGAACGACGTAAAAAAGAAAAAGAAATAAAGAAAGGGGGTAAATCTAACAACCACATCAACGGCCAGCGGCCTGAAATTAGGGAAAGCCTCTTTAAATTAGTGTTCGAGAAGAATGTTTCTCAGAAGAAAATCGCTTGGACAGTTTCATTTGGGAGGAAGGATGACCGCGAATACAAGAATGAAGGCGGTGGTAAAGGAAAAATCAAAAGACCCAAACCTGATGACGATGATGATCTTCCAGCTTTGGGCGATACTGATGGTGATGCTAAAAAAAGAGAGAATGATTTTGAGGACGATTACGAGAAATATTATAACGGCTATGGGTATTATGGTGATGGTGGTGGAGAGTTTTGGGGCGGGGTTTGGGTTTTTTCGGGTTTTCTACTTTTAGATCTTCTAATTATTATTCACTGGTACTGCTGATGATGACGACGACGACGATGATGATGATGATGGTGATGATGATAACGACAATTTTTTAAAAACGTTTGTTTGAGTTAGTATCCAACTTTTTGAACAACTGAACAAATGAATAAATTATCAACCAACCAATCAAATCGAGTTATTAATCAACCAGCCAATCGGAGCCAATTTCGAGCAAGCAGCCAATCAATAAAAATGATTCATCATGTAGCTTCAGGCAATCAAATCAAACTAAATTATCAATCAACCAGCCAACTAACTAACCAACCAACCAACCAATCAACCGACCATCCAATCAACCAACCAACTAACTAACCAACCAACCAATCAACCGACCATCCAATCAACCAACCAACTAACTAACCAACCAACCAATCAACCGACCATCCAATCAACCAACCAACTAACTAACCAACCAACCAACCAACCAATCAACCGACCATCCAATCAACCAACCAACTAACTAACCAACCAATCAATCAACTGACCATCCAATCAACCAACCAACTAACTAACCAACCAACCAATCAACCGACCATCCAATCAACCAACCAACCAACTAACTAACCAACCAATCAACCGACCATCCAATCAACCAACCGACCGACCAATTCCAATCGATCCATTCATTCATTCACTCATTCTTTGTTGGTTGTTGTTGTTTAAAAAAAAAAATTAACCAACCAATAGAACCAGAGCCGCCACCAGATGAAGGGGGCGGAGGGGGTCCGGCCCCAACTTTTTCCCCAACAATTGGAGACAACTCAGGAGAGAAGATGAAAGCAAGAGAACCAGAAGGTGGTCATGACGATGATGATGTTGATGATGGTGGTGGTAATGAAGACGATGGTGGTGGTGATGATGGTGATGATGATGGTGATGATAATGATTGGTGATGATGATGATGGTGGTGGTGATAATGGTGGCGACGATGACAATTTTTTTTTCGATCATCCATTCATTCATTCATTCTTTGTTGGTTGTTTTGTTCATTCATTTATTCATTCGTTCGTTCATTCATCATTCATTCATTAATTCGTTCATTCATTCATTCATTCATCTATTCATTCATTCATCCATCCATCCATTCATTTATTCATCCATTCATTCAGTAATTTCCATGCTTTGCTATGAGACGTGCACATTGTACATAAATGGCATAGAGGCTGTGGATGTTGGGACTGACGATTGGCTGAAGGGCGTCACGTTCAAGATATCTAAGCCGTCTGTTGGTTGTTGCTGTTGTTGTTGATGATGTTGTTGTTGATGTTGTTGTTGATGTTGTTGTTGTTGTTGCTGCTGTTATTGTTGTTGCTGTTTTTTGTCGATGTTGTTGTAGTTGTTCTTGTTCTTTTAGTTGTTGTCGTCGTCATAATTGTTGCTCTTATAACTCATAACGATAATTATAACCCCACAGAAGTTGGCGGTCCTAATCGAGACCAAATACGGTAACAACGGTGGCCTGGCTATTGATTCTCTGACGAAACTCTACAATACCGACAACACGCGATGGAGATGTACCAGTAAGTCCGGTTCAATTCAATTCAATCGATAATGATAATAATGATAATAGTGATAATAATGATAATAGTGATAAGTTTAAAGAGTTTTGCCAAGATAAACGAGGTCACGCGCACACGCGCGCACACACACACACAAACACACCAAAATATCAATAATTATAACTATTATTATAGTTATAATTAATATTACAATTATATATTAATTATTAATTTATATTAATAATAATTAATATATATTAATTATTAGCGACGGAATACCCAGAGTGGTTCTCGGCGAGCTACGACGCGTCGCAGTGGTCGAACGCTGTGGCCGTCGGGAAGGTGTCGGCCTGTGGCATGCTGGATGAGGTCAACATGCTGCCGTGTTGGGATTGGTTGTTGTTGTTGTGGCTGTTGTTGTTGTTGTAGTTGATGTTGTTGTTGTGGTTGTTAATGTTGTTGTGTTGTTGTGGTTGTTGTTTTTGTGTGGTTGTTGTTGTGTTGTTTAATGTTGTGGTTGTTGTTGTGGTTGATGTTGTTGTGGTTGTTGTTATGGTTGTTGTTGTGGTTGTTGTTGTGGTTGTTGTTGTGGTTGTTGTTGTGTTGTTTAATGTTGTGGTTGTTGTTGTGGTTGATGTGGTTGTTGTTGTGGTTGTTGTTGTGGTTGTTGTTGTGGTTGTTGTTGTTGTTGTTGTCGTCAATCTCACCACACCCAACCTCACCTCATCATACACACCACAACAACAACACCACCACCACCCCAATCTCAGATGCGGTGTATCCAACCTGCCCTCTAGTCCCTATCTCTCCCCACACTTCATGGATCTGGCACCACCCACACAGCGAGCTAGATGTAGGGGCCTACAAAGTTTTCTGTCGGCTTGACATCACCGAATCGAAATGTAAACTTATAATAATTATTATTAATTATTTATAATTATAATTATTAGTTATTATTATTAATTAACTTCAATTATTGATATTAGTATTGATTATTATTGTGGTTGTTAATTAACGACGAGGTATCGGCGATATTTTTTCGGCATTGGCTGCTGAGTTTAGGCAATAATTTTGAAGCCGGGTATCCAACTTAATAATGCCGATACTTTTTAGGTAGAAAAGAATCAAAACTCGATACCGACACTTTTTAGAAAGATAAGAATCGATACTTAATACCGATACTTTTTGGATAGAAAAGAATCAAAACTCGATACCGATACTTTTTAGGTAGAAAAAAAATTGATAATTGGTACCGATATTTTTTGATAGAAAAGAATCGATACTTGATAACTCTGAATTCGAAATAAATAAATTTTACCGTAATTGTTTCGTTTTGTTTCAGCCGAAATCTTCCGAAAAGTTGTTTCCACACACACACACACACACACACACACACACACACACACACACACACACACACACACACACACACACACATACACACACACACACACACACATTATTTTGGTTATATTGGAATTTTGGTTTCTTTTGGATCCTTTTTCATGTGTTTTCATGAAATAAACTTGTTTAAAAAAAATAAATAAATAAAAAAAAAAAAAATTTCACTATCAAAAAAAAAAAAAAAAAAAAAAAAAAAAATCAATTACAGATTTCACGGAGGTGTT